AAGAAGAAGAAGAAGAAGAAGAAGAAGAAGAAGAAGAAGAAGAAGAACAACAACAACAACTGGAGCATCACTTGAACACCACCAGCATTTACAAATTCACCATCAGTCAATTGCAGAAAGCAGCTTGACTCGGAAGAGCGTCCATCCTGTGATGATATCTGTAACACCATCAAACATCCTGACTTGCTTATCCCAGGTCCTTGGATAGACAAAAACGCCAAACCCAGTCTGAACATCTGTGCGATGATCAACAATAATAATAACAATAAATAAATGTAGTTAATCTAAATCTAATAATTGAAAATATGTATAAGCACAAGCATCATGCTGGTGGGATGGGGTGAGTTTTGCCTCATTTTACAAACTTTCTGGCCATCTTTTGTTAAGTGAATCCCTGCAGTTGTTAAGACAGTAACCCCAAGTTGTGAAGTGAATCTGGCTTCCACCTTGACTTTGCTTGTCAGAAGGTTGCAAAAGGGGATCACCTGAGCTCGGGACCCTGCGACCGTCATAACTACAAGTCAATTGCCAAGGGTCTGAATTGTGATCACGTGACCCTTGGGGATGCTGCAATGGTTGTCTGAAAAATGGTCATCAGTCATTTTTATCAGTATCAGTGTAAGTTCAAGTGGTCAGTAAATGAACTGTTGTAAGCAAGGACCACCTGCATAGGTATCCGGCGTTTGCCCAGTCACCAACTAAGGCCAAGCCGAGAAGGGCTAGGAGTGTAAAGACTGTCTTCCAGCACTAGGTGGCGCTTGGCTCTGGACTGTATTTTCAAACAGTTTTCTGCAAGTTATTTTTTACACTGCTCTCATCAGACCAGGATACAGAGTTGTGTTAAACTGGTGTTTATTATTATTATTGATTAGATTTTTATCTCACCTTTCTTCCTTTATAGGTACCTCAAGGCAACAAACACACCTAATACTAGTGAGTAAAAGAGAGAGAGAGAGAGAATATTACCCAGTCTGCTTTTAAGCTTAAGGCAGGACTAGAACTCACAGTCTCCTGGTTTCTAGACCAGCGCCTTAAGCACTACACCAGGGCTCTTCAAACTTGGCAAGTTTAAGGCTCGTGGACTTCAACTCCCAGAATTCCTCCTTCTCCAGTCATGTTAGCTCCAGAATTCTGGGAGTTGAAGTCCACGAGTCTTAAACTTGCCAAGTTTGGAGACCCTTGGACTACACCTTATACTAAGTGCTAGAGTTACGTGTTTTTCAGAGCCCAAGCTAGTGTATGGAGGCAACGTACGGACCCACAAACACACATTGCACTGAGTTGTAAACTCAGAATGGCCAAGCCAGCACCAAGAGCCATAAATAAAGATTAAAATTAACCAAGTTTAGCATCTGGCAAATATAGGCACTAGATTTAAAATGACCAATGGGCCATGTAGCATAGAAACAGAAAGTGAGTTGATGTTTAGCTTTCGAGGCAAGTAAAAAATGAAAGGGGTTTGAGGGAAATCTGGCTGATACTGAATCTTGCCATTAACCATAGTTACTTTTTCTTTCTAAATCATGCAGAATA